GGGCGGGGACCCACCCCGGGTGGGCCGCGCCCCCCGCCTCTCAGCCCGGCCGCTTCTCCCCAGAGCGGTGATTTTATTGTTGTTGCCATTAGCTGCACTGATTGTTTAGAAATGCGTCCACCTCCCTCGCTAGCTCCGAGCTCGTGCCCGGGCCAGGGAAACTCTGACGCCGCTCGCGCGCGGCTCTGCTGGCGAGCAGGGATGGGGAGGAGAGGTCAGCGGGCGCGAGGAGGCAGCCCCGGCGAGCGCCGGGAAGCAGCTGATGGCTGGTTTTCCTCTGTGAGCCCGTGGGAAAGGAGTTGGTGTTTGAAAAGTGCATTTCCTGGAGAATGATACTGTGCTTTTATTTATTTATTTATTTAGTTTTTTGGCATGCGGAGCCGAGAGGATCATAAGCGCTTGCTGGGTCAACAGGAAGGGCTATGGGGACGGTGCTGTCCCCTGTGCCAGCCGCTGCTTTGCTGCTCTTGCTCTGCGCTCCGAGGCTGTGGGATGGTGTCAACCCCTCTCTGGGACAGGGCGAGCAGTGGGTCTGGGGTCAAGGGTGGCCTCACTGCTCTCCCAGCGAGGAGAGGGACTGTATCTAGCTCTGAATCGTTCCTATGATAACTCTGTCGCTGCCCTCCTCTTGTTGGGGGCATGAAAGGGGGGAAGTGGAGGGAGATGGAGAGAAAAGGCCGGTCTCCCATGTTGGAAAAGCTTTTGCTGGGCGGCAGGGTGGCAGCTGGAGGGTGCTGTGATTCCCTGCCCCATCTCATCATGACCCGTCCACCTGCCGGGTGCCCCCTCTACCTTGCTGCAGAAATGCACCTTTGCTGCTGCAGTGGCTGGAGTCACTTCTGGCCAAACAGAGATGCTCCGTGAGCATGGCGGGAACTAGCCCTCTCTCCCGGGAAGCACCCGTTATGCACCCTGGGGGCACATCCTGGCTCTGGGGGCTCAGGCGGGCAGTGCTGTCAGCTGTCGTGGCTCTCTGGGCTGCGGGAGGATGCTCGAGGCCCTGGTACGGTGCTGCTGGGGGATGCTCTGCCCAGCTGAATCGAAGAGCCAGGTGGTGCTTGGAGAGGCTGCAGCAGCGAGCTGGGTGCTAGCGACAGGAAAAAAAGCAAGCTGTGCTTGCCTTTCTGCTGGACTGTGGGCCACTTCTTTCGGGACTATCTGATCCGGTTTGGAACAGGCCGTGCCGGGGGTTTAGGTGCTGCCCTGAGATGGGGACAGGCGAATCTGCCACCCTTGCGGGTTCTCCTGCCGGTGCCGGCTCAGCTGGTGTCTCCTGACGCGCCGCCCGCGCTCTGCTTCCCCGCAGGGGCGCAGTCCCGGGAGAAGCCCCCCGACGAGAGCGCCGTCCCTGCCCGCAAGCGGCCGCCCAGCGAGAGCCGCTATGAGAAGAGCTCGCCGGAGCCCGGCTCGCCGCGCAGCCCCACGCTCCGCTCGCCGGTGCACAGCGTCTCGCCCGAGGTGGTCAGCACCATCGCGGCCAACCCCGGAGGGAGGCCCAAAGAGGTGCGACAGGCGGGGGGCTGG